GCAGGATCCCAAAATAATATTGATACAAATGTTGAAGGTCAGTTCAGACAGAAGTAAACAGCAGGTCATCTTGGTGATTCAAACTTTATAACTTAATTGATTCAGCTTGATTAGCTGAGCACAGCTTGAGAAAATCAGGCTGGGATGCCATATGGGCACTTCACCAAGAGTTGTTGCCCATGAAGTCGAAATGGCAATAAGCAGAGAAGCATATGCTTTAATACCTGATTTTGATCAAATCAGTTCTGAAATTTGCCTTTGAGCTCCCAACACACTTGTTCAATTTGTCAAAACAAAAGGAAAGAGCTGGTTTTTGGTATAGGAAGGAAATTTCCACAAGATGGTGCTATAATCTTAAGGGAAAAATGCCCAATTTCCAGGTCAGAGAGTGTTTGCAGAACTGTGGCTGCAAGCATACTTTTAAGGCTGGAGAGTCCCCTAATAGAAGAGCAGAGAACCAAACTTGCTGGTCAACCACGCTATTGTCAGTAGTGGCTGGCAGGATGCAAAGAATTCCACAGTTATTCTGTTTTGATACAAAAAGGTTTTTTGGACAAGAGCTGAAATAGCCTTCTATTTTTCAGGCTGGTATTTTGAAATCTCCAAATACTGTTAATGATTAAAGTATTAAGAATATACCAACAGCTATCAATTTGTATGTGCTCCTAAAAAAGTGAAAATGTAACTTTTTCCATTTTTGATTCATTTATCAAAATATTGTTCTTTCTTTTGTGCGTAGTTTGGACAATCAGAGGAACTAATGTTTTAATCCTATATGCATTTTTCCTCAGCATGTGCACTGCAAATATAACACATGCACACTCTAATGTTAAGGGAGACATTCTGCAATACACAACTTGTGGACTGCAGCCTGAATTTTGAGATGCTTGCTTGATATTATTTGCCACCCTGTGAGAAAAAATGCCCCCCAGTAGCAAATATATTATGGGATAAAGATTGCTTTGCTTCCACCCTAAGAAATGTGCAGACTTGCACACTTCAACCAGTCTTGTACTAGGTTGCATGGTGCAGCCTTCTATTTTATGTGCTGAAGAATCCCCACTAACAATGTATGGATACAGTGCCCATAGGTCTCTGGATGTGCCGTTCTCACCACACCGTGCACCCAAGGAACCACTATTCTGTATGTGTAAGAGCAGAATCCCATGTATATCCAATTGCTTCCAGGTAAGGGTATATGGGACTCAAGTCTTAAATGTGCAGAACTGCCTAGAAATGCATAGAGTATAAATCTATTAAGTAAATAAATAATGACATGTACTAAGATAGTTGTTTCTCTCAGGGAGACAAGAATGTTTTTGAAGTGAATGCCAGCAGTCTTTCCTTGGAAAGGATATAGCATAATAAAGTGCATAAAAGAAAAATACAGTGCTACCTCAGCTCATGAACGCCTTGGCTCACGACCAAATCAGGTCGCGAACAAAAATTTCATGAAAATTTTGACGTGAGTCACGAACTCCACATTGGGTGGCGACCAAGATCGCAACCATCTCCCCCCCCCCCACCCCTGAGTGGGGAGATGGCCACAAACACAGTTGTGTTCATGCAGGGAAGACGGGCGTGGTCACGGGGGGGGGGGGTGCTCCTGCAGGAAAGATGGGCGCAATCTCGGCCATTTCCCCACCCCCTCAACCAACACGATTGCGGCCATCTCCCCACCCCGAGTGGGGAGATGGCTGCGATCATGCTGGAGGCGGGGGGGGGGGGATGGCCGAGATCGTGCCCGTCTCTCCCTCCCCCAGCATGCCCTATTCGCGTCCGTCTCTCCGTCCCCCAGCATGCCCCGTTCCACCCATCTCTCCCTACCCCAGCACACCCCATTCGCATCCGTCTCTTTGTCCCCCAGCATGCCCCGTTCGTACCTGTCTCTCTCTCCCCCAGTGCGTCTGTGATCGCACCCATCTCTCCCCCCGCCCAGCACACTGGGATGACGGGTGCATGCAGGGATGACAGGCACGATCTCGGTCGTGCTGGGGGGGTGGGGAAATGGCCATGATCTTGGTTCTTTGTCACTTTGCTTCACATTTTTCTGATTTAAAAAAAAAAATGGTTACAGATCGGATTAACCATATTTACACTGAACCTTATGGGGAATTTTAACTTGGCTCACGACCAGTTTGGGTCAAGACCAGAGTCCTGGAATGGATTAAGTTTGTGAGTCAAGGTACCACTGTACATGTTCACTTCTCTTCTACATTATGTATATGTATAGTTAATTTCCACTGGAGACAGCCTACATAAATATTTAAGGCTTGATTTATTTAGTAATGTCAGATGGATGTTGTCACAGATTAATTATAAACTTATTTCTCCTTCTACTAAGCATGTTGATTGAAACTATTAATGACAGACAAAAAAAACTATGTTCCATATGCTTTGGATTTCTGAGAAGGGAGTTATTTTAACTTTTAAAAATGGTAATATCTTTGTATGGGTGTATATTCATTTTTACCCCTTTAACTTACCTAATTCTTATCCCTATGTGGCTTGTTAAAATTAAAAAGCAACTCTGTGTGTGTGTGTGTGTGTGTGTGTGAGAGAGAGAGAGAGAGAGAGCGAGCGAGCGAGCGAGCAAGAGATTGATTTTTCAGGTTTTTAAAATCTGCTCCCAGTTTTGCATTCTGTAATGCTGAACCCCATTCTTTCCCTGCAGTGAAAAGCCTAATGAAAAACATCTGTTGAAGAATATCAATGTGGGGCAGAAATTTGTCTGTCTCAGAATTAAAAATGGGGGAAACTATACTTATGTAAACATTTGTCTGAGCTCATCTGTAACATTTTAGATCATCACTGAACAACTACTTATGTAGGATAGATAATTTAGTCAAGATGAGAAGCATGGTTTGATAGCAAAATACTACCTATATTTTGGTTCATGTGGTTATTCCTTTAAAGTCGATTTACAATGTTTACTTACAGTAAATTGTTCACAATATGTGGTTATGAGACAGAAACAATTTTGTGTTCTTTTTCAAGTGGTGCAGCAGAAGCATCACTATTTGGTTCTGTGGGATAGCAATTTTTTTACTTGAAGGACATGATTTTATATTTAAATGAAAAACCAGTCATCCTTCTCCAAGAAGAGGCCAGTTTGAGGTGCACCACAAACTTGTTTTCAAATTGTTTACCTGCTCTAGTTTGTGTGTGTGTGTGTGCGTGTGCGCGCGCGCTTGCATGTGTGTCTAGAGAGAGATTTTAAATGCATGTCTGAAATTTTCATCACATGATTTGGGTCCATTGCTACTATTTGGCATTGAGATAACCAGTTTTTCAGTTGCTTCTTTTGAGCTCATTCTCAATAAAATACAACATACTTTGGCATTCACAGACCTTGATGGATTTCATGGTTTATAGTTCTATCACTCGGCACAAGGGCAGAATCCTCCAGAGGTAATTCTCCTTCAGATTTGCCCACATCTGCTGGATCATTATGTTGATGGATCCAGATGATTGTTTGAGGTAGTGGGAAAGCAACCACTAAGGACTTCTAATATATATAATATGACTTGTCATAGCAAGATGTGGTTAGATGATGGCCGACTAGTTCACCCTTAACTTTTAAGTTTTCCAGGAAGCAGTAAGTTGTGATCTCACCAGAACATTCAATAACTTAAAGGAAAAACAAATCAAAGACACAGCTAACTATCTCAAATGACCTTTTGAATCTGCTATAAAATATGTTACAAATCAGGAGCATAAATGAGCAAGTGCATGTATATCAGAAGTGTCCATTAAAATGAAATGGCTCAGCAAGAGATGGTTCCAGATAGGTTGTTCCAGATGGAGAAGGCTGTTCTTACCCCAGTAGTAAAGAAACTTGGGGGTAAATTCTATTTTGATACCAACTACCATGGTGAGTCAAGGCCACGCTGTATGTTCTATTTGCAAATATGAAAAGCACTGGAAACAGCCTCTGTATGATGGCCACAAAACAAGCGTCCTACAGTGGGTGTCTGTGCAAGTGAGCAGCCATCTGTTGGAAATGTGGAGAAGTTCCACATTGCAGGGCAAATCACTCCATATATTGAGCCTGTTGTGACCATCTTATCATGCACACAGACCATGAACCAAAATCCATCTACAGAACCTTTCCTTGAGGAGTGGTATTTGATCCACATGCATACTGGAGTCAGTTTCATAACCAAAGTATAAATTTCCACTGAAGAGTGCTAGACATGAAGGTAAGCCATATGGCAAGCCTGGTCTTTCTTAGGTCTCTTTTTAACTCAGGATATGTGACCACCTAGTAAGAGCCCGTACATTGATTAAGTGCCTCTGTTTGGACCTTGCTGCTCTTACCCTTGTTATGTAGGGTGAAAGCATCAACAGTTAGAGACACTTTACTACAACTGTCCTGAGGCTTTGGAAGGATATCCCTTTGGCTTTCCATGGAGGCTGCAAATCAGCCATTTCAGGGAGTTTTTGCAACTGAGTATTAGATGAGATGGATGTCCTGAATTGCACAGTTACATGTTTAATTGTAAAATTTATCATGTTTTGATTTAAATTGCATTGAACATGGTAAAGTGCTATATGTGTATTTTAAATAAATAGAATGAAAACTACCATAGCCACATAACTTTGGATCCACAGACCTGCCAGACAACAGCGCTCGCAATAACTTAAGTGGGTAGAAACAAAGCAGGAGGCAAGATAGTTGATTCATATGGATGAGTCCTAATTAAATTTCTTTGTAACAATGTGTGCACACACATTCCATCCTGCAACAACTTTTAATGTTATTACACTGCCAAAAACAACACCTCAACTTTTCTACCAAGTTCTGGTTGAATATTTTGAATACATGGCATTTGAGTTTCTGGTCCAAGGAGTCATCTAGACACATTCTTTTTCACTATTCACTTTTTCCTAGTAATGATTCAACTTGCCATGTGTGTGTGTGTGTGTGTGTGAGAGAGAGAGAGAGAGACAGACAGAGACAGAGACAGAGACAGAGAGAGAATATCAGCATTCCTCACCTGGGGCTGTTGAGTGGCTGTTGGTTTCTGAGGGGATGGTATAGGTGTTTTAGATAGTATCTGGTTCATTCTGCTTACAACAAGTTCAGTTATAAGTTGCTTGTCTTCAGCTTGATGTTCACCAATTAAAGGCATTGCAGAATCCATAACCTGGGAGGCACAAAGGAGGATTAGGCAGATAAATATTAGCTTAGTGTTTTTCTACACTGTATCACAGAGCATTATTAACCATCCTGAGCTGCTAGGGTGAGAGTTATAAATCGAGGACACAGCCAGGAATTTCTTTGGAATCACATGTTTAAAAATGTGTCCATCCAAACTCTGCACACTTTTGATTATTAAAAAAAGTGAAGAAACTTGCAATTGCATTTTGATAAAAAATGGGTTTTGGTTTAACACAGGAGGGAGACTGATCCAGAAAAAAATGGATATGGTTGACACATGACAGTAATTCATGGGTTGTGTAACCTATGAATTGTGGGATTGCACAGCAAACTGCCTCCTGAATATTTGCTGTCTATAGTATGCATCTGTTTTCCTCAAGACCCTGGAGCACATTGTTCCTGTGTTGTTTGCTGAAACATGCGAACCCAGAATTTTGGGTTGCTGAAGGACAAACAAACAAGAGTTTTAGCTGAACAAAACATGGGTTCCTGGATTGTTAGTACAAGCAGATACACAGTGGAAACAGAGAATTGGTGGAAAGCAACGAGCTTGTACTCTGCAGTGAGATCTCAAATAACTGTGGGTTGTTCAATCCATAGTTAGCCATTGCGTGTGAACTACACCATTGGTTCTCTGTGGCAGGAAAAACTGTATGGATCATTTGAACTGCTGTTTGGTAGGACATACCTCTCAAAAGGATAATAACTGTTAAATATGATGATGACCCCAGCAATTTTTCCCATTTGCAATGGAAATCATAGCTATACATGGATTAGTGTACAGCCAATGTTCACTTGTGATTTCGTGACACATCTCTCTCACATTAATTCATTAGTTGCCACAAGTACACACATAAGGACCAAATTTTACCACTGTGCTTTTTTATATTTTAGCACATAAGTGTATTGCAGTGAACAGTTGAGTACACAGGGGATGTGATGTTAGGTCTGGTTCCCATATTAAGATTTCACATTCCTGAAAAAAATCGGTAATCATGAAACAAGACAGCTAATGAAGTTTAAATTCTATTTCAATCTATTCTCTATCATCTCAGTATTCTCGAGACTTTACATTATAATGGCACAAGCATAGATAATTCCACATAAAGACGCAGTATAATGGGCTACTAGGCTCCTTTAAATGCTCTTGTTCACGCAGAAGGTGAAAATTAAGGTTTTAATATTGACTAGGTTATATCATAGGGAACAAGCCAAAGTTAAGTTGCTGCATTGTATGAATGTAGAGTATTTCCCAAGGGGTGGTTTGTTGATGGCCATCAACAAACCACTCTGACAACCTAGACTGATGTGGTGGTCAAGAGAGCAAATGCCACCCTTGGTTGCATAGCCAGAAGTGTGGCTTCTAGATCAAGAGAGGTATTACTACCACTCTATATGACTCTGGTGCGCCTGCAACTGGAGTACTGTGCTCAGTTTTGGGCCCCTCATTACAGAAAGGATATAGCCAGGTTAGAGTCAGTGCAGCGTAGGGCCACAAGGTTGGTGGCCAGTTTGCAGGGGATGGGGTATGGGGTGAGACTGAGGGAACTGGGTCTCTTCAGCCTGGAGAAGACTCAGAGGGGATATGTTGGCGACATACAGGTATGTGAGGGGATGTCACACGGAAGTGGGTAGAGACCTGTTCTCCCCTGCAGAGGAAGGCAGGACACTCTCCAACGGAGCAAAGCTTAGGGAACCAAGGTTCAATTTTGATGCCAGGAAACACTTCCTGACAGGACTCCAAGGGTATGGAATGGCCTTCCACAGGAGGTGGTTGAGGCCCCATCGGTGAGGGTGTTCAAGGAGAGGCTGAACTTGCACATGGTGGGCATGTCATGAGCGGAGCCGGCTGGAGCCGGGGGTCAGACTAGATGGCCCAGGAGACCCCTTCTGACTCACCCTGTTTCTATGTTGTTGTCTGAATATGGGTGACTGGTGCCATCATGGGTACCAGGAACTAGCCAATGAACCATCTGGCAAAAGCAGCAAAACCCCCTTGCTGCTCTTGTCAAGCTTGCCTACACCACTGCCAGCACTAGCTACTTCACAAATGGCCAGGCAGGAATTTGGGACAACTGGCACCAGTTGTGCACCCAGTGCCACAATCACAAATGCTTTCAGCTCACTATATTCCTCCCTCTTTGACCGCTTTCCCACTCCATCTCTTGCTTGACAGGCAGTGTTCTTAAACTTCATTTAGGCAACTGCTCACGGTCCCTGCAGTGACCTCACAACACACTGGAGGGGCTATTAGTGACTGGCAAATAATTGTTTTTTCTGGGTGGGGGGAGAGAGAGAGAGAGAGAGAGAGGAAAAGAAAAAAGGAAAAAGGAAAAAGAGGAGGATCTTGCCACAAATGGTGCAAAACTTTTCGTGTGCAAAGATCATTTGTGCCTTTGTTTTCCCTCCACAACTCACCCTTTGGCAGCTGTCATGAGAAAACAAAGGAAAGGGTTAATTGGAGCCTCTTGGGGCAATGTCAAGGGTTTGCACTTGCTGTGCCCAGGACCTGACATTGTCCCAGTAAAAGCTTCACATTTTCACACTTGCAGAGCTGTGCATGTTTGCAGTTGCACAAGTGCAGCTGGCTTTTGTTTTGTTTTTTTTAATGAAACATTGTGTGCACAATTTTCTTTAAAAACAATGGTTTGCCAGCCCCTCTAATGTGCTACTTTGCTACTTATTTACAAATTCATTTCTAGACTGATGATGGGACAAAGAGTTTTCTAAAATGCAACACTTCTCCAGAGGCCCAAATTGGTTTTAATGGAGATGCATCGGAAGTAGAACAAAACAGTCCACCAATTGCCGTACTGTAGCAGAGGACAAGAGCCTTAATTAAAGCAAGAGCCTGTAGAAAGAGGTGCCATTCAGAATGGTGGCAATTGTGCAGCATCGTAATATCTTCTGACTCCAGCAGAGGCAGCTGGCTTGATACAAGATACTTAAGCAGGAGAGTGGATGCCTTTAGTGGGATTTCAGCAGACCTGGACCTGTCCATACCACACTGCCCAAATTTCAGTGTTTGGAATTGTCATTTCGATGTCTGTGAATATTGAGGTAGTATTTCCTATGAGTTAATGTATTATTTTGAAACAAAAGTACCTATTTATTTTTATTTATGATTGAATTCAGGTTGATTAAATGTTCTGATCAAATATTTTTGCCACCACTGCCTCACAGTTACTCTGAAGTATCCAACAAAAGCTTTGATGCCAGATAAGATGGCTAGATTATGTAATTAGTCTGTTAGCAGATTAATGATTTCTAAAATTATTGTTTGAACAAACAAGACTTCTCTTCTGTGCCTCACTGCAATCATTTACAGCCTCAAAGTTCCCATAAAATATTTTACTGAAGAAGCAACTGTAATTTAAAAGGCAGAGTTTAGTGCCTTTTTGTAGTTGTCACTAGAAGGGCAATCCTAAGGTTCTTCTTAAATGATGACCCTTGAATATGTTTGTTTTTATCTTTCAGTCCTGGGTCCTATCATACTTATCTTCAGCAAATGGTTTCTCACCATCTCAAAAGGTTTTTATATTAGAATAAATTTGGAATAGCATTCTCCTCTCCAGAGTGTTTTGAAAGGTCAAAGCACAATACAGAAAGCTTGAACAATGGACTCAAACAGAAAATAGTTATCTGTGGGATTCAGGCTATCCAGTTATCTGTACAATAGGGACATTCTATTGTCAGATTCATGATAATGCTTATGATGATTATAAGCAAATGTATTACACATTTCTAGCACTGGTAAACAAACTTTCTATAAAAGCAGTTTAGGGTCTACTGTCTGACTATTTGCAAGTCGAAACCCAGACCTTAAGCCTTACATGAAGTTTGACATTTGCCCCCATAGTATTCCCCTAAAGCTAGCAAGATTATTCAAGGAAAAATATTAGAGAATCACTTCTCTAATAGTAAATAATAAAGACACTTACTTAAAAATAAGTTCAAATCTGAGTTATCGCTCAGTATACATGCCTGCAAGATTTATCTATGGAATAAGATTTATTTTACATCAACTAATCATTTGGCTCAAGGCTACTTTTGATCATAATTAAAATCATAAACAAGTAGAGAAACCTGAAAAGCAAGAAATCCAGTGTCCAACCCAACTGATTTCCAGTTGCATTTCCAAACAAAAGAACAGGGCAGGCACTTCTGAACACCAAGAAAGATGAGCTTGGGCAGACTTCATCTAGCAGCCCTACTTGCGTAGGGGTGGAATATAGGGGAAGAAATGCTCTTGATGGCATGCAGATCCCAAGCCATGAAGGATTTTAAAAGACAGATCACTTTCAACTGTGCCAAGTCCAGAAAGTGCAGCCTCTGCAGAATTTGATTATATGTGCTCCCACCTTCTCTTCAGTACTTTGTAGTGCCAGTCACAACTGCCAGCATCCTGCCCTTATTTGCAGAGTTAAGCAAGCTATAGTGTTCCAACCACCCTGGCTCAGACTTTACCATAACAGCGACATACCAGTTGGACTGAGCTGTGAAAACAGAGAACTGAGACAATGGTTCCAGGAGGCCCTGGATGACACAGAATCTTCTGGGCCAAGCCTTGGCCATCATGGCTTGCTTGTCCCTCTAAAGAGCGTCACTGGACCTGATTAAGGAATGGGGATCAGAAAAAGGTTTCTTTGCCACTTTCACTGGCTGCTATGGGATACTCAATCAAATTTTACACTGACCGTCTACCAGCTGTACTCCAGTTCTCTCTCCAGCTGCTTAATTGTCATAAAGTATGCAACAGAATACTCAGCATCAGTATAAAATGGTTGTTTAATCCAGTGATATTTTAGTAAAGGAAATTATTGGACCATGCAGTTCCTTCATTTCTGAATGTAGAGCACATGAAAGCGAAATGCTGTTAACATCTGGCCCACTGAGGATGTAAGATAGTCCTTGGAAGATTGCTTGTGACAGGTTTGCAAGGTACTTTGAGGGTAATATTAGCTTTGCACTTGACATCATCCTAAGCCTAATTGCTTCCAAACCAAATTCAAAGGTTGGTGTTTACCTTTTTGTAGACCAATTCTCTGAAAAAGAATCTCTTTGTTTACCAGCCTGACCATGTCTTAAGATCTTAATACTTTCAACACATAATATGTCAATGTGTCTGTTATAGCACCCATACTGGGAATCACCTTCCACACAGAGGTGGAACTTGTGTTGAAATTGCAGTCTATCTGAAACCAAGACAGACTGTGTGTTTGGTGTTTCTACAGAAGTATTAGTAGTTTCTGTGACCGTTTCTTTGACCAACAAGGTCTAACTTTTCTTATGTACACATACCCCTCCTACAAGGCTGTGTGAAACACCCCAAAAAGTTAGGATAAAATATCTTGACTGATGAACTCATCCTTTTGGAATATAACTGTAATATGACCAAACAAACAAACAAACCACTTGTGAAATAGTAGTATATTATTTCAATTGGTCAACCATGGTTGAATGATAAAGGTGAAATTAGAAATGGTGAACTACCATGGTAAACAGAACTCATTGAATCTACTATGCTCTCCACAAATACAGAACATCAAACATTTCCTCCAGACTGAATGACACAGACTAAACTAGGTGATGAAGGATGGATTATATTACATAGGAAATGCACTATTGTAGTAAACCATGTTCTTGCTTTTCCACACAGTTTTGATCCATAATTCTACTTACCGTGGAAACTGAAAGTCTCTTTTAGTTTAGTTTTTGTTTTATGCAGAGATGATAAAAATAAGCATTTTAACAATTTTTATAACACACATACACAAACATGGGTTTTCCATTAAAATGTACAAAGCAGTGAACAGCAAAATAACACAGGAAAAATAATAAACATCTGTAAAACCATAAATATGAAAGCAACATAAATCAACCATACCATCCAAACCCAAAAACCTTAACTCAGTACAAAGTATCAGCAGACATACTGCTCAAAGGCCTGGCATTTTAATAAAATGACTAAAGGCGCAATCTTGTGTGAGTTTTAACAGATAAACAGCTTCCTACTTGAAACCCTGTATTTATCCATCTAAATTTGCATATGACTGTGCCCTAGGGCTGCATATTTAGGCATTTAAAAAGTCCTTTAATTCCCAGCATGCTTCAGTCAGCATGACTGGATGGGTGATCCTGGGAGTTGTAGGCATTTTTCTGTCTGAACATACATAGGATTGTGCGCATTTCTAAGTACATCTCCCAGCAGGAAGCCCCAGTGAGTTCAATCAGACTGAATCCCATTTAAATGGGTATAGGATTGCAATCTCAAATGTGTAGAGATGGAAGGCTCTGTACCTCCCTAGAAAGTATGTTCTACAGCGTTCTGCCAATATGGAGAAGGCTCTCCATGTGTTTTTTCCAAACTGTAACTCTTAGAATTATGGAGCTCAGGGCAAATTCTCCAGAGCAAATGGAGAGTTCATAAGAAAGTTCATATGGGCACAAGCACATAGCTAATGGGAAACAAGACAGACAGTACTCACAAGAATCTCCTTCATTTAGGTGACAATATCAGAAACATACTTCCAATAGCAATATGCCCTGCATTTCCTGGAGTGGATCACAGCGTTGCCCCCAAGGCCTAGTCTGATGCTGTACCGTTTCCACGCAGGACCTGCTGAGCCCGAAAGAGCCCTCCAGCCTCACACAGCCATGGCTCTGCATCATGCACCAGGCTGGGGCATTCAGTTAATGCACTCGGTGAAGTTACCACAAAAGTGCTGCTGAGTGAAAATAATGTTCTTCCGTTTGAAGCACACTTCCTCCTGTTACATGAGCTGTTTTTCTATCATTGACATGGAAAATGTTTTTTTTCCATGCTAAGCATGATCTCACAAAGCAATTGCAAGAGTGTGTGCTGATGTGATCCATTTGGAAAGACCCTCTCCCGCTTCTCGGGCAGTGGTGCCTAGCAGATGAATGTTCAAACTAAGGGTGAAGGGGACAGAAACAAAATGAGCAGCTCATAGGGAACACAACATAATAGCCTACTTTCTTGCAGTCTAACAATTGCTTCTTCAAGCTACCTTTCTTTAATAGTCTCTATACTTCTGTGTAGGACTTTAAGACTTCCTTTTTGTTCCAAGAAGAAAGAAACATTCTTAATTGTCTGGCTATGAAATGCCCTTTCCATTTATTATGAGGCAAAAGCATTTTGAACTCAGCCTCCAATGCGGCCCCCACCCCCAAAACATCCCAAAATGAATGTTGTTTTGTTTTTAAATTTTCCCTGTTTTCATCACCCATAGATGTAGCCCATAACAGGGGCTGGGGAGTAAATATGGCCCCTATATATCATGAAGTTGCCCACCCCTGCTCCATAACAATGTGATGTGTTTCTCTGTGGCCATACGTGATTCCAAATAATAATAATAATAATAATAATAATAATAATAATAATAATAATAATAATGGGCAATGCATTATGAATTATTCATGTAGGAAGCACATATGCTATTGCAGGATAGAGACTTATCTTTGTTGGTACCCTGAAACCCAGAAAGCTCAGGAGAAGAATGTGGTAATGGTGACAGAAGCATAATTTATAGGCATCCACAAATCTTAGAAAATGCTTCACTATCCAAACTACTGCTTGGTATCTCAATATCAATTTTGGAGGTGGATGATTAATAGGGCAGAACAGATGCCCTGAAACTCTGCTTTTAGGCCTCCTTGAAGTATCTATCCAGCTACCATTGGCATAAGATTTTGGACAACCAGGAATTTCTCATGCTTTCGCTTAAACTCTAACCCTCTTACCCAGAATCTTCCTGTCATTTTCTTTCTAGACCCAGTAGATAAACAGCCCACAATCAAAATAATATATCTACTCTCTTCTAGTCTGCCCATCAAAAAAGTGGAAAAAATCATTTATTTGCCTGATGTGTAGGGCTATCCCTCTTTTGGCCACAAACTAGCTGTCAGTATGGTTCACCATAGTCTGAAAGAGAATACAAACTGTAGACAATAAATCAAATTAAAAACAGCAAGAGCCAACAAAACAGCTAGTTGCAGCAGCACAGGTTTAATAAAACAAAGCTCCTCCTAGACAAAGAGGTCTTTACAGCATTACCAAATGTTTTCAGGAAGCATGTCAAAGTGGAACATCCTGTCCAGATGGCTTTACAAGGGAGACTGGACTGCTTCTCATGGTCTTCGGCTAAATAAGAGGTAGCTCAGGCCAAGGCTGCATCATACTGCACCTTCAAGACCCAAACAGACAGAAAGGCACACACCCCTTCCCTAACTTCCAATTTCTTTCCACGCTTCATCAAGAAGTGAGATGGAGGAGCACAGAGGCTTCTGAGATGCCAGGGAGGACTTCATGGATGCCACTGGAGCAACATGCTGTTAATGGGATCCACTTTTCTGGCCTCTTCTCCCTGAGGCAGCCCACTGAAAAGCTGATGCTAAGCAACAGAGAACCTTCAGGAACAGGATAGACCCTTCTGTTCCCACTAGATCCCTCCTGGTTCCAAGAAAAGTCTATATCCTGGGACAGATTTAGTGCAGTTCAAGTGCATCCCAATCTGTTTGCTAAATAACCCAAGGTGGCATGTGCTTTCTCTGAATGGAAGAATATTGTTTTTCCCACAAACCACTAGAGACAGACGCTCAGTGGCATACACTGATATATAGGAAATAAGATATATTTTGAGTCTAAAAATGATATGTTATTATATTCTTAATTTCCTATTTTATGTAAAGATGTAATTTTCTGGGGAAGTGGCTACCTATAAATCTTGCACTAAGATGGTGAGTTCCCTTGAAAGGAAAGCAGAAGGGCTAGGAAAATAGGATGCAAGTATTTTGATCCTCATACACTCAAAAGCAAAATTAAACTACGTCATGATACAGTTGGGCTTTCCCACAAGCAGTGCCATTTGCTCAGATACGCAGCTTTGCTTAATCAAGTGCACAATCTGAATCACCCTTTCAAAAAGAACTCAGTGAGAGCTTTAGGCACAAAGATTTCTTCCTATTATCTCAACAACAACAGTAATGACAACATGCTGACAGAGAAAAGGTACGAGTCCATCATACCTCAAAAATATAATCCTTCCCATCTTTGCCATGAACGGCTTTGACTGCACATATGTCCAAACCTCCAAACATCTCAGAACAGCTGTCAATCCAAAGCTTGTACCTGGAATGCAAAGAAAAGCTCCCATGAGTCTAAAACTTGATCTTGCTGTAATACAAATCTAGTTCTATAGCTTAAATTTACACTGTCACACATTTGCCTCAACTTGCATATTTTAAGGGAAACATCCTGAAAATGTTTAAACATCCACACTTTTAAAATATATAAATGGGCAGATGCAGCAACCTTGGTATTACATTTTTAAAACGTGGCATAGCAGAATAGCACAAATACACAAGTACATAGGGCATTGTCTTTCTACCATTAGAAACAATCCCTCATTTTTCTTCTTCTAGAAAGAGAGACTGAAAATGTTAAACGATAGAAACAGAATGGAAGATTCATGACATCATGTAAAGAACCTGAAATAAACCATGAGTAGGGAATGACAACTGCATGATAAATTCTTCAAGTAGAAAAGGTTTCAGTTTCTTACAAAAGTTACTTGTCAATGAGCCTCATCAGTTTGCCTTCTGTGAAACTGAATGCTGGAGCAGAACTGTGGGTTCAAAAGTGTGGTTTTGTTTTTGGTTCATGTACTAATTCCTTTTCTTTTAGGTTCACCAGTCTGTCTTGTTGGAAATGGGTGTTTTGTCGATGACCATCCCCACAACTGTAGCCATTTTGAGAGGACACCCAATACAATCTCAAAATTCCAAATGTGACTACTGATCCCAACGGGCTGAAAAACTCTGTTCAATAGTTAAGACATTACTATTTGAAGTTTGTTCCAAGAGAAAGGTTTTCCTTTAAAGAAAAAAAAGCTAAATGTAGACATTTGCAAAAATGTTGTACGAAGTCTTATATAACATAAGGAGTGGATTCTTATTTCCTGAACAACTTCATTTTTTGGAGGGGGGGGGCATTGGATGAATGTCAAATTGAACATCTGTAGAAGTGCTGACTGTGGTGACTGAGTTTATTTGTTTATAAACTATTTTTTTCTATAAAGTCCTATAGTCATTTGAATCTAGGAGAAGTGTTCCTTCTGTTAATGGCAAATCTGGAGAAAAACCAAGCCAAACAAGGAAAGCTGATTTTGAAAGGCCTTTTTATATAACCAAAGAAACACTGAGAGGATTTTACTGAGGGCAATTTTCATGCACATACAAAACAGATGGAAAAGGAGACTGAGGGTGAAATGGCTGCCTCAACCCTAAGCCCACTACATAAAAGCATGTCTGTTTGGTGTGTTTGGGGCAGGTGGTCAGACATGACCTAATGGGGATCCAGAGCTTAGATTCGAAAGGCTGCACACACCAAAGTGCCACTTCCAGGTTCCACCTCTTGGAGAGAAGAGCACTCACATATCTTTTCTTATCAAACTAGGTATGACACAGTCTTTTGCCTCCTGTGTTAAATAAAAGCACTCTCACAGGGTCCCAGTATCATTTAAAAAGTGGTGTTGAAAAGCTGCTGGGAGGAGAGATTTTTAGTGGACGAATTGCAAAAAACAAAGGCTCTCACAGACCTGTCTCCTTGTCCCACCTTTCACTTAATCTAACAAGGGAAAGGTGAAACCTTTCACCCTTCACTTGACAGACAATTATGTGCACCAGCCATGTAGCATCGAGTTTGGTTATCTGAAAGGAGTAGGAATTTATTAACTATCCATAACACATCTTCATAATATCGAGTAATCATCCTCTGGTTTTAAAATTTTCTGGGTACTATGGCTCCTACCTATCCCCTTTCCCCTTTTAAGATATCATGTGTTCATGACTTATCCTTGCACTTTCAACAGGATGGTTCATTGCTGAAAAACTCAACTATGATCTTTTAAAGAAGTTCCTTTAACAAAGTCATGTTTCAAAACTTCATTTTTAATCTTAGAGCACAGAACATCTAATGTTATAAGCTGTACTCTAGTACCTAGAAATATAAATCAAGTAATATAACATTTTAATGTTATAAGCTGTTGATCCAGTATCTAGAAATTAAGTACATTTAAGCTATTTAGCCAACTATGATGTGAATCTCTTAAAATGTAACAAAACTTGTAAACATATCAATCAGACAATGCATATTGGAGGGTAGATGCTTGTATTTAGGTTCAGCTTGTCAATCAGATAAAGAACTTTTCCACACAAGGCTTATTTTGGGTTGTATCTACTTCCAGTTTTTTCACAGAACAAAGGTATGAGTTACAAGGACATTTCTTTTTCTGCTTTTCTCTTACATAACCTCTAGGTGGCACTGCAGTACAATGGAAGAGTGTAAACACACAAGAAAAATCAAAGGTTTCTTTTGCTTTCAAAATTAAATGCTGCATTTTTCTTGCTCAAACACTTGCTCTAATACTGTGCAACAATTGTGCTTTGGTACAACTGGACAGCATACAAATGTTTTAAATAAATAACTCAAAAATAAGATCAAACAAGCAAACCCTGATCCAAACTAACACAGAAATGAAATTAGGGGGTCCTGGTGTCATTTAATAAACCCATAAACAACTGTGGGAAAGGCATAATGAGGGCATGATAAATACTTTGCTTAGAAAAGCACAAAAATGTGCATGTAAGTATAAACTGCTTCTGTCGCCTTTACACAGACCATGAGAACTAAGCTTTTTTGTATAGCCTTTTCCATGTATTTTTAAAGGAAGTAGTAATAGGTATATTCAAACAATTCATACAGCAAATATCTATTTTGCTCACTGCTGAGCACCAAATATTGTTGATGTTTGTAGTTCAGTATGTTGGCCTCTTTGCAGAGTCATCTAATAGTAATGTGGATCCTAATTCTGTGATGAGTCTCAGTATATTTTTGGCTTGCCCACATTCCATGCAGAAAGACTTGCTGGCACTTCTGAGCCACATGCAGTAGCAGGTGGATGCACCTGTAACGGCCATGCTGGACCCCTGAATGAATGCCCACCTTTCCAGTTACTCTCCACTGGGAAAGCAGGGCAATAAACTGGACCCACCTCCATCCTTTGCACACAGAGCCTAGATGTCTAAAAATTGACAACTACCTATCTGCGGCTGTGGACACTGTTGGGGAATGAATGAAAAGTACTAAGCTGAATGCAGAATGTCATACTTCAGTGCAAGTAATAGTGAACATACTGCTGAGAAATATAGCCGGTTGATACTGATTAGGATATCAGTTTAAAATATGGTACATAATACCCAGAGATTTCATATAAGTGAAAATCAATGGTGATAAAAAGAACAATTAGCTTTCAGAGTGTCTATAACTGGAAAACAAAACAAAACAAAACTGGGATGGTTGCTCCTAATCTACTGAACTTTGGGCAGATGCTATAGCACAAGTTGGCCTCGTTTCACATCAACTGTCTTCACCGCTTCTCCAGTTTTGATCCATTTGAGGCACAGCACATGCTCTATTCTAGTATGGACCTGAGACCAAGCTTAGTGGCATAGCACACACTTGGCATGTAGAAATTTTCATGTTCAATTGCAAGCATCTGCAGGTCAGGCAGGAAAAAAAGCATGAAATTCTGAAACTCTGAAATGCCATTGCCAGTCTGTGTCAACAGTCCCAGGTTAGACGAACCAGTCATCAGATTCAGTACAAAGCAATTTCCTTCTTTCTTAAATTACATAATTAATATCAAATCAAACCTATTTACCTATCTGACATGGCAATTTGTTCCAACATTGCAGATCCTGTGTTTGTCTTCCAGTTTCCAGATATAGAAGTCCTCCTGTGGAGAAATATAAATGCTTAGTAAGTATTTACTGTCATTTTCATTTATTTTATGATTAGCTGTTTACTCAAGATGTTTTTTGGTTCTCAAAAATGATATTAAACAACTTACAAGCAGCATAGTCAAGTAAACAGTACATATTTTCAACTATTTTTCCTGAGTATGGGCATTTAATTTTATGTGGATAGTGAAAGACTATGCTCATAAAAATATACACATTGGACACTGAATAGGACAAAGAATTAAAGCCTTACAAAAGGACAAGTTAAAGATCTGAGCTCAGAGCAGCTGAGTATGTTTCTATTCTACTTGGAAAAATAGTAACCGGGACTTGACCCTTAATTTGTGTCCTGTAACAATAAACATATAATGTTATGAAGAGTTGCGTCATTCATTATCCCAGTGAGCTCTGGATCTACAGAACATATTGCAATTATGCTTCTTCATAAAACTAATACATAAACCTCTGCACTCAATATATTGTTTCTGGAGCAAGGAAAGGGTATATGAGAAAATTTGACAAGTTTCCATATGTGTGATTTTGTTCCTGCTGTGTTTGCTTCTTTTTCACTCCATGCAATTTCCTTAAAACAATGCTATATTGATCTTAAAATCCATACATATGAATCCTTAAACATTTGCAGGATCTGTGGTATTAGGAAGGCTACTGTACTATATCCCTATTATCTGACCACTGACACCCACAATGAGAGTTTTGAGCTCACAACCAGGTAGATAACAGAAGATTATCATACAAGCAACTTCAACAGCAGCATTCAAATTATAAAAAAAACACAACAGCTGATCTTTCCTGTGGCACCTCTTCAAGTGATTATTCCACACTTGTGTTAAAATCATGCATGTGTACACACACACACACACACACACACACACAGGAATGAAAAACAGCTGTGGAACAACATATCTAAATACATACAAAATGTGGCAGAAGTTCCATGCTGATCCTGGGCCTAAAAGTGATCCAGTGTCCTCTGCAGAACATTACGTACATCCAATGCAAGGTGCAGCGGTGGCGATCTTTGCTGCCCTATGCCTCACACTCGCATTTTATTCAGGCACCCACCTAGATAAAGTGCTGCGCAGGGGGAGGGAAGGAAGCTGGAGTACCATTTGGTTATGGTGCAATCCACTGCCCTCAGCCTTGGCTGTCTTCTCCCCAGCATGTTCCTTTAGTCCACACCAAGACTGCTGATCTTGGAGATGCAGGCAGCACAGTCCTTTCCACGCTGGCTGCAAGAGGGGCAGGCCAGGGACTCTGCATGTGGAGTCCCAACTCTGAGGCTGCAAACCTACAGAGCTGGGACTCTGAATAACCCTATGGCCCTCCAGGCAATGGGGCATAGCACAGGGTTGCATCCTGTCTATAATCATTCATTTTTATGTGATCTCAAAGGCTCTTCTAAATAGTTCTTGTCTAGGGAAAGTATAATTGAAAATAATAAATAAGTATTTATTTATTTACATGTATTTATAGGCCTCCTATAATTGCCAAGGCTTTCCTAGGTGGCTTACAATGCATAAAACATATTAACAGAGTAAAACAAATTAAAACTAATTAAAACATAACAAATTAAAACATCTATGAAAGCAATTAAAAAGCCACATTCTGGCTAAATGTTAAAAAATTCCCCCAAAAGGTATGTCTTTGCCTGGTGCTGAAAGGAAAACAAAGATGGTGCCAGGCAAATACCTCTAGGGAGGGAGTTCCAGAGAGCAGAAAAGGCCCTTTGCCCAGTTGCTACCCCTCTCATTTCCCTGAGGGGTGGTTCTTGTAGAAGGGCCTCCTGAGCTGATCTAAAGGGCTGGGCATGTATATATGGGTGCAGATGGTCCTTTAGATAGCTAGGACAAGCCTTGAGTCTATTTGCATTCTATCTGAAATTGTAAAAAAAATAAATACAAAGTGGGGACTGGTGTTCAAGAACATTTTATGCCAGTCCTCAAAGTGCTAGTTTTAACATTCAAAGTCCTACACAGCTTGGCGGCAGACTATCGGGGGGGATGCCCATATGTAGCTCCCTGGATCTGAAGGGATTCTCCAGGGACCCTTCTCTATGGACCCCCTCTAAATGATGGAAGGAGGATGACTACCAGGAGGAGGAGGTTCCCGGTTGAGGCACCCTGGCTATGGAATGAGCTCTCCAAAGAGGTGTGCCTGACACCGACTCTTTACTCTTTTCTGTATCAGGTAAAACCCTTTTTATTTCCCCAGTATTTTAACAGCTAACTGAAACTTTAGCTTTATAATGTATTTTACCGTGAACCCCTGCCACACCTCTGTGCCAATTCAGTTGCAGCTGCAACTGGTCTTATTGTTTTATGCCTTTTTAGTTGTGTGTTTTTAACTTTGTTAACTGCCCAGAAAGCTTCAGCTATTGGACAGCATAAAAATGAAATGAAACAAATGAACGAACAAATGGATAAATAAATAAACAAGGGCAGGCTTACCTCTGTCACCACGTAAGTAAATTCACTTGCTTGACATCACTTGAGGACCTTAATTGGGCCCCAGTGCTTAGTAGGTGGTGCCCAAAGGGCAGGAAATGCTTCCTAAATAATCTAGAAAATAATAATTACGTTTCTAATACGACAGCTGGGTGTGACTATATTGTTAGGCTCCTTTGAAAGCTGGAACTGGCTTTGTACAAAGTACAAAAGACTGATGGACGGAACAGAAACCTGAGTCACTTAGTGGCTGTTTATTTTGCAATATTATGTATTATTATGCAAAGAGAGTTAAACATATTTGATATTAGCTTATGGAAGAGTTCTGTGTATTTCTGTAAATATTTTTTATCAGTAGTACTGGCCCAGTACCAATGTAATACTGTATAGTTTTCTTCAAATGTCAAGTAGTTTACGTATTGTACATGTTCAATCAGGTAATTGTGAAAAAGACTGCCAAAGGACAACGGGAGACATCTGGTAATCATAAGATCTTCCTTTTGGGTAGATACTTTTGGCCTTTTGTTCTTCCTTGTGTTTCTCGCTGTGGGGAACCAGTGGTCTTACATAAGACAACAGATTAGGCAACCAAACACTTCAGACTTCATGTTCAAGTTACATCAAGGCCAAAGGTCTTCTTTGCAGAAGGCTACAGACAAGCCCTAACCTGCCTAAAAATGGGTGGAGTCAGGGGAAAAGCTTGATTCATTAACTTCCTTCCAAAATCTCTCCCCTCCATAATTCAAGAATTACTCCATTTGGTAGTATGATAATGGTGTGAACATCCCATTCATGAAGGGCATAAGTATAAGCGGGCAGTGCTGCAGAAGCTAACAAGTTTTACCAGTTTAAACTGGTAAAACCAGCTCTGAAATAAGCATTGGCTACTCTGCCTACAGCACAGAAGAATCGTTTGCAGCCGACCAGCCAGAGAAGTCTTTAAAAATCTGGAAAGAGTTGGTTCTTTACCTCTTCATCCTTTTACAGCTGATCTAAAAGACTGAAAATAATTTTATGTATTTCCAGTGCAATATCGCCTTCTTCCATTTTGTGCAGAATTGTTCTTTGTTTTTATGTTCATGAATGATTTAATGTTCCCGCTTTATTCTAATGCACATAGCTGAAAAATATGAATTATTCAACTCATTTTACTGAATAGGTTAAGATCCTTCTTAGAATCCCCATTATTTGACTTGTGGATTGACAGTCCTGCTGAAGCACTGAAGATTATCTTCCTTTCCACAAATTGGGATAATATGGAATTTTCATGCAAGGCTAGTAAAGTCTGGTGGTAACCTGCTTATAGCTGACGATGAAAGATGAAAAAAGAGAATCTGTGCTCACATGTATGCTTTGTAGTTGTTGCCTATTTTCTGGATCCTGATGTCATATTTAGAGTCTATGTAGGGTTCAGTGGTGGCGTAGGTCTGAGTGAGTGCGACCACACTGGCTATATCCTGAAAATCATAATGGTTGTCTACTTTGACCTGTTATCAATCCGCATGTATTTAGCATGGGGAGACAAAAAGAAAGGGAAAGAAAAGAAAGTAAGAACAGTTAGATTTGTGTTATAAGGAAAATGCCACTTCTGGCACATGCATTGCAAAATTACAGTATTTTTATTTTCTATACTGCCCTGTTGTTTATGCTTGAAAGTCTGAAATACAAATGGCTTAAAGTACAAAATGAAAGCACCCCATCAAAATGTGGCTAAAATCTCCCCCCACTCCACTCCTGCCTTGGTTGCTTCCAGTCCTGCATTATGTTCAGACAATGTGTGGACTCAGATTCAGGTGGATTCCTGGAATACACCTGTTTACAGGGTTAACGGATTCTGATAACCGAACATTTATGGCAAATGTGAACACAATCACTCCAATCCAGTTGCTGGCCCTGCAAGTGGAAACACTTCCACCAACCTATCCCCAGCTGAAGTGCAGACTTTTAGCAAGCTTTTCTCTCTGCAAGGGTGGGGGAGTTATTAAATTTGATCACCCATGGAGGTGTCATGGATTCCAGTAGAGTCCAGAGAACTCTGAGGAATATTACTGCTGGTATGGCTGGTGTTCCTGTTGAAGCCCAGGTCATCCTGTGGAATCAAGAGGCAACTCGGCCACATTGCGCGTCTCCCACCCAGATCCTTTCTGAGATGGCAGCAATGAGGCAAGAAGGAAGATGCAGGTGGAAGAAAACTCATGCCAAGTTTGGCCGGATACAGTGGTGGTGGTGGTGGTAACAAAAAGAGAGTTCTTTTTGACCATTACTTTCTCTTCTCAGTGTCATCCAGTGGTGCTTTTCTGAGTGGTTCACAGGCTGCTAGAATCTGGGTGAAAGAAAAGGTACTGGAAACTTTGGTGGCACCCTGTCATGAATTTGGACACCATTTGGAAGATTATGCTGCTCAAATCCACCATGAACAGAATACCACAGTTAATACAGCTCCATGAGCAGAGGTGCCCAGAGCACCATCTGGTTCAGTTTCATTGGATGAGTTAAAGTTGCTGACAACAGTCTGGTCAACCACATCAGACTAACATGCTTGACCCTTGCCTTTTGTGGCTTATTCGGTCTAATAGGGAAAAAATGTCCAACTGGCTCCAAAAAGTTGTAAATTCCACCTTGAAAGAGTAGGTGGTACCAGCTACCTTAAAAGAGGTGGTAATTAGGCCATTCCTGAAAATACCTAACCTGGACTGCGATGATGTCAGCAACCTTGGCAAGGTGGTAAAGGTTCCACTTCAAGAACTCTTGATTGAAACTTACTACGTAGAACCATTTCAGTTGGGCTTCCAGTTGCCAGTTACTGCCTTGGTAGGCTTGTGGGATGACCTTTGCCAAGGGAATGCAGGGGAAATGCAGTTTCCTGTACTTCTCAGTGACTTTTGATACCATAATGGAGGTACCCTTCTAGATAGGTTATCCGGGTTGGAAGCTGGAAGCAGCAGGTTACAGTGATTTTACTCCTACTTGGGATGGCCAGTTCTTTAAGGTAGTGCTGGGGGATTATTGCTCTGTGCCTCAGGAACTTATGAAACCTCTGGGGAAGCTTATTCAGAGGTGAGGGCTGAGATGTCATCAATGTGTCATCTTTCCTTTCAACCAAATGCAGGTGAGGTAGAGGCTGTTCTGAATCAGTGCCTGGGCATTGTAATGGACTTACTGAGAGCCAATAATCTGAGATTCCATCCAGGTAGGACTGTTACTGAATCTTTTATTGGCCCAGCTCAGTGATGTTCACCCTATTCTGGAGGGGGCTGCACTGTCCTCAAAGGATCAGCTTCACAACCTGGCGGTGGGTGGGGGTGTTCTTGGATCCAGCATTGTCACTGGAGGCACAAGTAGCCTCTGTGACATGAAATGCATTTTCTCAGCCTAGACTAATATACCTGATCTGGATAGATACAGCTTTTCTGTAGTTATCCATGCTCTGGTAACCTCTCATCTGGATTATGGCAGTTTATGTAACGTGGGGCTGCCTTTGAAAACAGTCTGGGAAATTGAGCTGGTTTGAAAATAGAGCAGCAAGACTGTTAACAGAGATTGGTCAATGTCTGTACTTTTCCATCTGTACAGGCTGCTGTAATGTGAACCAGCTCTTGAGGTTCCAGAAGGCCGGGGAAGGATTAATCCAGAAACTAATAAAATGCTAGAAATACCAGGTGCCAGCCTAGTGGGAATCTGGCACCCTAGTCCTCTGGGAAACATCCTCCTCCCTGTGTGCTAAGGGGGTAAGAACTATCAGAATTAGGGGCTCAAGGACACTGGAGATAATGCGGATGATGGGCTAATGACTGGCACCTGGAGTAAATGGCTGGCCCCAGGGAAAGAGAGATGGGCCAACACCCCACAGATCAGCTGACCTAGGCTTGGGAGCAGGAATAAAGCGCAAAGAACAGAGCAGCCTTTTGTTCTTCTTTTGGGACTGCCGTGTTCTCACAGCTGCCGATTCTCCTTGCTTGACAGACCAGATTCTAAGGATATCTCGAGGGAGAGACACAGTAATTATGGGAGATTTCAATCTCCCGGATATTAGTTGGGAGACTCACTCAGTGGTGACAGCCAGGTAACATCGCTTCCTAGAGGCTATAGAGGGAGGGTTTTTCACACAGAGGGTCCAAGAGGTGATGAGGGGGAGAAACATCCTTGACTTGGTCTTAACCAATAGAGAGGAGCTGATAGATGAAGTACAGATTAGGGGAGCTCTGGATGCGAGTGATCACTCCATTCTGTGCTCTGAGGTCAGGGGACTGGGGACATGCAGCAGGTCGAGCACTAGAAGCTGGGACTTCAAGAGGGCCAACTTTGGCCAACTGAAGGCCGAACTTGGAAAAGTCTCCTGGGATAGGTTACTGGAAGGTAAGCGAGTTGAGGAGGGGTGGATGGATTAAACAGGGCTCTGTCCTAGGGCCTATCCTGTTTAATCTTTTCATAAATGACATGGAAGAAGGGGTGAACAGTCTGCTGGTCAAATTTGCAGATGGTACTAAAACTGGAGCAGTGGCCACAACTGAGGAGCAGGTACTCCAGATCCAAAAGGATCTGGACAGACTATGGAAGTGGGCAGGAGACAACAGGATGGCGTTCAATGTGGATAAGTGCAAGGTCTTGCACTTGGCGCATAGGAATAGGTGTCATAAGTACAGGTTAGGTGACAAGTGGCTGGAGAGCAGCACTTGTGAAAGGGACCTCGGGGTACTGGTTGACTGCAGGCTAAACATGAGTCAGCAGTGTGATGCGGTGGTCAAGAGGGCGAACGCCACCCTTGGTTGCATAGCCAGAAGTGTGGCTTCTAGATCAAGAGAGGTATTACTACCACTCTACACGACTCTGGTGTGCCTGCAACTGGAGTATTGTGCTCAGTTTTGGGCCCCTCATTACAGAAAGGATATAGCCAGGTTAGAGTCAGTGCAGCGTAGGGCCGCAAGGTTGGTGGCCGGTTTGCAGGGGATGGGGTATGGGGTGAGACTGAGGGAACTGGGTCTCTTCAGCCTGGAGAAGAGGAGACTCAGAGGGGATATGTTGGCGACATACACGTATGTGAGGGGGTGTCACACAGAGGTGGGTAGAGACCTGTTCTCCCCAGCAGAGGAAGGCAGGAAGTGATCCAACGGAGCAAAGCTCAGGGAACCAAAGTCCCTTTAGGTGCCAGGAAGCACTTCCTGACAGTCAGGACCCCGAGGGTGTGGAATGGGCTTCCACGGGAGGTCATTGAGGGCCCATCGGTGAGGGTGTTCAAGGATAGGCTGGACATGCGCATAGTGGGCATATCGTGAGCAGAGCCAGAGGTCAGACTAGATGGCCCGGGAAGCCCCTTCTGACTCACTCTGTTTCTATTTTTCTTAAGAGCGCTGTGGCATCCTATATATCTTCCTCTGACAGAAGGTAGAATTACTGTGTATAGGTTAGGATAGAAGCTGTTTGTTATTTTGTTATCTGATTGGCCCACGAGGGTCTGGGAGCAGAGTTTCTTGGTTGACTGCAACCTGTCTTGTTGCTGCTGTCCAAATTCCCCTGTCTCCTTCCCTTCTCCCATTTCCTTGGTTTTATCCTTGCAGATTATGTGTTTTAGTACCTCCACCCCTAAACTTGTTTGTTCTCTAAGCTTGGGTTTGTTGTGTGCTGAATCCAGAGGCTAGTCCAGGGCTTTAGGACCAGGGATTTTCTGGGCAGGATCTTACCCCACTGGCTGGGGAAGTGAGGAATCCTTTATGACTTTCTCTTACAGCTGCCAGCTCATTTGTCACCCCTATTTGAACTGCTGGGATTCCCATTCAAAACTTTAATGGCTTGGGGACAGGTTACCTGAAAGATCATCCCCTCCCATGTATACTGCTTAGTCCACAATATAGTTTTCAGTGGTCCTTCTTTAGCAGCCCCCACCAAAGGAAGTGAGGCAGGTGACTACAAAGATAAGGATCTCATCTGTTGTGGTACCCTGGTTGTGGATTGACTTTCCCAGACAGACTCACCTGGTATCTAGATTATGCTCTTTTCAGCACCAGGAATAGACCTTGTTTTCTAAGGCATTAAAATTTTTGCTTTTCTGTTTTAAATCTGTCAAGGTACAATCCAGTGGGTGTGCCTGCAACACTCTGAATTTGGAGGAATACAGACATCCTATTGAGGACAGAAGAAGATTGCCTCTGCATTCTTCTTGTGCTGCAGAAGAATTAGATAGCTGATTTTATATCCTAGAACAGCCGCACTCCTCCCCTCCCTGTCCTCTAGAATTCTCCCTCCCCTGCCAGTGAAGGCTCTGAGGTTGGGCTTGCAACCTTGGAGCCGCAGCTGATGCTGAACAAATCATGGTAGCTGAGGGGGTGGGCACTCTGCATTGGAAGTCCCAGCTCCAATCTCAGAGAATTCTTCTAAGGTTGGAGGTGAGACAATGAATTTTGCTGTGGCTTGCCAAGGAGTGTCTACCACCGAGATATTGCCTTTAGTGTATTTTAAAACTTTGCACTAGTGTTGAATTTTATTTTGGTTTTTCATTTTATACTGTAGTTTTACATTTATAAATTGTAATTTAGCATATTGTATTTTGTGGTTTTAATTCTTGCGAAAGGCCCAGGGAGTTTCAGCTATTGGGAGACTTAAAAAGTAATAAATAAAAAATTCCCCTCTCTGCCTCTACCCTCTGCCAATCAACTAAGTAGCAACTTTTTTTTTTTAACTATGTCTATACAAGCTTGTGCTCTGTTGGAACAGAGTCTGTGTGGGAGTTTGTTTGTTTTTGGTAAGGTACACAATACTTATTTTTACTCTTGGGTTCTGAGTGAAAATGCTTCTACTCTGCTAATTTAGGGATACATGTGTTTGCATAGCAGTAAGATGAGCTAACTGGAATGGCTCTCAAAAGGAAAGAGGATATGCTTGAAGGTTGTAAAAAAGCAAGTAAACCTTTTAGTACAACTAATTTTCATACTTCCTGAACAGTTCTAAATAAATGTTCTGATAGTAGCAGGAATAACCTGACTGCACATTGTTTACCTGTAATGAGTGTACCATTTAAAAAGCCCCTCTTCCCTGTGTTCAGGCTATTACGTTACAACATGTAATCATTTAAAATAGCCTGAAAATATAAATGGTCTTGAAATTCATTAGGTTCAAGCAAACTTCTTTTCCTGAAGTAGAATCATTTCCCCTGCAGAGAACTGCTCAGAATCCTCCTGCTGACAGAAAGGAAGTGGGGAAATGACCTTTGCCACCCCCCTGCAGTTTCCAGCACTTTTCCCTAATTCTTATGGAGGGTCTCCCAGCCCACCACAGAAGATATTTGGGAGGGGGCTTGGAATAGGGAAGTAAAAGACTGCATTCTTCCTCATTCCAGTACTGCAAATCTTCCAGGGAAGGAAAAGAAAAAACACCTCACCACACACACACTTGAATAAATTAAAAGATAGGCCTGTGTAACTTGCTGTCTCATGTACTCCAGCCTAAAAATCTTGGTACCTTTACATGAGACACACCACACTTCAATAAACCATGAAATCAACTAACTGACAGTGATTTACTGACCATCCCTGAGGATTCCTAATTTTTAGCAATGCCTCTACGTAAATAATTTCTTGTAAGATTGATCCAGAAGCATCTGTATGTATAAAACAGTACGCATCAAATGAAAATTAAATATTCTGAAGACAATTCAAGCATCCCATCAAAAACTAGTGCCTCTCTATCAGCAAACATCAGTGGTGGTGTGTAGGATAATAGGCAACATTTACAGTTCAGATATAATTAAAAAGAAATAAAGAATTCTGAAGAATGGTGTAATGATTGCAGATTGATTTAGAGCATTATGGCATCTTCAGCATATTTAACAATTCTTGACAACATAGCTGTCATCTTACTTTCCCTTTACCAATGGAATACAATAACGCCTTTTATTAGAGGCTTTAGTAAATTTCAACATATGGGAGATCAGATTGCAAAATCTTTTGCGCAAAATGTTTGGCAGAGAAATAAACACTGAATAAAGCATGTATAACACCTGTTCTTCTCCAAATGTTAACAAGTTAGGTTAGAGAAATGTTCAATTAGTATCACTCATTAGGTCAGATGATCATAGTATATTTTAGTCCAATTATAAGATGAGAGAGCTTGGTTTCCTCTAAACCATGTAACTCCTCTTGAACAGAATGAACAGATGTTAGTAAAGATCCATTGAAACTTTTGACACTCCCACTCCAACAATAACTATTTCAGCCTGGGCTACATGCCAATTTTTGTTGGCAGAAGTTGGTACCTTTAGAATGGAAAATGCTGAGTAGATGTTATGTTGAATGTAAGATGCAAAACTATGGCAGTGAGCAGTTAAAGTGTGCGTAAGGCTATTACAATGTAGTGAGAGGCTTGAGTGTGACATTGGGGGCTCATACGGCTCATCTCAAAGAACAAACAAAAATTATTCCTCAACTCTTATTAAAATCTGAGTGAGGATTTCTACCTTCCTACCTAACCAAAAAAGAATTCCCACACCTCCCAGTTTCGGTGATCAACTGTTCCTCCTTTCTTGTTCCCTTTAAACCCCTCTTAACTGGGTGGCACAGCCAGCAGCAGCAAGCAGCTACAAGGTAAGGAAAATCTGTAATTCCTTCTGCTCTTTGGTGCCTGTTGCTGCCAAAGCCTCGGAATAAGTAGCTTTTCCAAGGAAAATCACATTTCCCAGGGACTATGTAGGTGTCCTTCTGCCACGGCTTTCCCTCTCCCTGCAGATTCTGTCCCTGCTGGACTTCCCAGTAGTAGTTGCAGTTAAAGGGGGAAAGAACTAGGAAGTCTTGGGGATCAGGGTTAAAGACCCGTGGTTGGGAGGGCGTAGGCCATTCTCTGTCAATTCGTATTAGCTTGGTAATGAGCCAAGCTATTGCCTGTCTTTTTGGGAAACAGCTTTGATCTATGGAAACCTTGCCTATCACTAGTCATGATAAGGCCTAATTCATGATAGAATCATAAACGGGGAATGGTAAAATAAGAATAGCATGGGTGTACAGTATTTCTGGCCTTATTTGCCAATTTTTATTCATATGAACAGTTTCCAAGTCTTTGAAGTGTCTTTGTATTTCGAAAGCATTGATGTTCACAGGAAGATTATACACCTTTGCTCAGGGTACTTCCGCGTATGCCGAAAATTAAGCAAGTACACAGTGATGAGTTCCTGAGCATATGCCTCAATATGGATTTCCATAATTATTGCCTGAGGTTTCAACCGCTTCCATGAAGCCTGCAATATCTGCATAACCAACTTCTAAAAGGCAGCTCCCCTTATTTCCCCCCAAGAGATAAATAGCACCTGCACCTTTCCCATGCCCGAATGAGCGTGTCCAATCTTCACCACAACAGGAAATGTTGGCAATGTCAGCTGAGGACAAGAAAGAAAAACTAGATTTAAAATGGTTGCTTAAGCAATGAACATTTCATTATCAGGATCATACTTCTCTGTAGGTTGAACGGGTTCATTAGAAAGCTTGTCAGTTGGAGTTCAGCTTGCCTTAAATGACTGTATGTGGCAAATTGGTATTGGCAGGCCATCCTCATTACTCTGGTACACTGCTCTCAGTCCTGCCATTTATTTTATGTAACACAAGGGCTATAATTTCCGTGCAGGATTTTTCCCACTGCTTTGATAGAACAGCATGAAATTCAGATGTTTCTCCATAAGTTTTATAAAACAGTAGCCAATCCTATATCACTTTCTACTTACAAATCCCTGCTGCAAAATCACTTTTATCCATAAGATGAAATAACCTAGTCCTAAAACTCTGGCAGCAGGACTTCAGGATCTTAAAAGTTCTTTCCTTAAGTCACATTCCCTTGGTTTGCCAAAAGGCACAATATGCAAGAAAGGCCAAAGCCATTCCCTGTTGGATTTTTAATGGATTGTTGAAAACGGCCCAGAAAGCTTCTACTACAGGAAGGTACAGAAGTTGAATAAATGAATAACAACAACAACATTTTAGGGATGGAATGTGTTATTTATCTGAGACAAGTGCAGTGTGCCTTTCCATTGGTAAATCCTGAAAGGTAACATGTTTAATCAGGATTCAGCTCCAGCATTTTCTGGGTGCTAGCCAAAAGATGTGCCGTGGTCTTCTTCCCTCCAGGTACTCCCTCTCATACATACACACATGCACACAGGAGTGCAAAAGTAGGTATACAGTTTTTATTATGAAAAAACAATAGCTTTATTAAGTCACAATAAAGATGACATACAAATTGCAATTAAGTAGAATCTCTTAAGTGCTCAAATTGCCGGCCTTCAGCATTCACACATTCCTGTAGTCTGGTGGGGCGAGGAACTCTGCATAACTCTTGTAACTGTATACCTACTTTTGCACCCCCTGCACCGTGTGTGTGTGTGTGTGTGTGTGTGTGTGCACACGCGCACACACGCGCGCGCGCTGAAGCAGTGGCTGCAGAGCTGATCCGAAACTCCCATGAATGTGTCTATCTCAGTAAACAGCTGCAGCAGCATCACATAATTGGGATGTTAGAAGAAGTCCTCAAATAAGTTCTGATTTCTATGAATTTGACCCATGGCTTCAGCAGCAGACCAAGTTTTCCAAGTCAGCCATATTCCATGGATCTTTTTCCCTTTTTTACTTTCCACGATTGTACACACATTTAGGTATAGAAAAGAATTTTCTAAAAAAACAGAAGTGTGTACTTCCCTCCATAGACTAAGGTATGAAAATGCATATTTTGCATTTTTCCAGAAATGTGAATGTGTGCAATTGTGTGCAAAGGTATTTGCACAAAAACTGATTCAATAAACAAGCTGACAATGAAATAGAAGGTACCTGCAATCTGCAAAATGGATTTAGCAAGGTCTGTACATTCCTATCCCAGTTTTTCCTTTACCTGCTCTCTATCAGTCAGAAGAGTCCATACCAAACCCTCCCTGCTAAGCTGATGCTTAATGGGCATGAGGGAGTAAGTGCAGGGCTGGGCAGGACTGTAGTCATAAATGCTATTCTTCCTGCTTACCCTACACTGTCCCTGTATAGCCTTTTGAGTAAGTACATTTTTTCTTGGTGTGGTGGGTGCAAATGCATGAATATGTGAAGATCTCTACACTTTTGGATTTCTCTGGAACTTGAAACCCTGATTGCACAACACTGTGATTCAGAAATACAACAATTTAGATTGTCCATCTATCCACAATCAGGAGCTATTACATAGTGAGACATGTAATCAAATGTCAATATAGTGATTGGACAGGAAAAGATAGAATACAGGGAAGTTGAATTTGCAACAGAAGATACCTTTTCAATTTATTTTAGCATATACGATCTAAAATCTGATAACATATGCAAACCTGAGTTTGACATGCACAGCCACCAGAGGCCCAATTAAATACTAAGTACGTATTTCAACCTCATTATTGCACTATGGCATTAAATGCATGAGAAGAATATTTTTGTAAGGATACTAAATTCTAAGAGTATGCAAAGTGGGCCTAATTCCTAATTCCTCCTGTGAACTAGGCCAGACATGTGAAATCTAATCTATATTGGTCTCAAGAGGTTTCAGGACTGTCACACAATCTATTGAAAAAGCTGGACATTACATTCCAGCTGTTTTCATTAACAGTTGAACAGATGCATTTGAAAGTACTTGAAGCCACATAAGTTACAGACTCTTAAATAAGAATGCCATAAAATGAATATTAATTTCCTGAATTGATAACATATTTCTAACTCTATTTTAATGACTTCTGGAATGACACAAATTTTGATATTGAGGCTGGTAATTCTTATATGACCCAGAATGAATCCACCAGCGATGTCTTGACAAGTCTTGGCAATAGAAGATCCAAACAAATCTTCAATTGTGAACAGAAATCAGCCATGAAGGGCAGTCATCACTGGCAGTGATACCTATAATGCAAACTACACTGGCCTGGTGCTTAGATCCAAACTCCCACCAATTCACAAAGTTTGCACAGTTATTGTCGTGCCTGACGCCCCGACAGAGGCGGCACCTCACAGGGAAAGGTCAAGCACCCAAAGAGAGAATCAGACATCAGAACAGGAGGATTTATACCTGAGACCCTGTGGCCAAATGTCCCTTCCACAACCTGGCTTGGGAATAGCTGAACAGATAGCCATCCCTCACCCTGACCCTTTACCCATTGGGCAAACAGCCAAGCCTCTGTCCGACCACGAGGGCCCCGAGGGAAAAGGCACTGTAAGTTCTGCTCATGGAGAGCTTGGGCAGGCTGCCCCCCTTCCTCCTGACGCTGAACCTCCTGGACATGACACAGGAGACACAAGAGGCGGGGCAGATTTGTCCCGCGCGACCCTTAGACGTTCTCTACGCCGATTGGAGCAGAAGGAAGCTTTGTCCCGCCTCAGGGGGGCAAGGCGGGAGGAAGAAAGCTAGTCCCACGTGGGTTCCCTGAGGGACTCACTAAGGAGTTAGCAACTGCCTTGTAAAGACCATTGCAGTAGAGCTTATCTGTAGCGTTGTAAATATTGTAGATAAGTAGCAATAAAAGACTTTAGTTTTATTGCTTGCGAAAGTGTGGGTCGTTTATACTGTGAGTCGTCACTCACAACAGTTATCTCTGATTTACCATTCATGAGGAAAAACTGCAAGTGACTTGTTCAAAATTACCAAAAAACAAACCTTGAAATGACCTTTTCTCATTCTTTATATCCTGTCAAGTGACTGATTTGTTGGGCTACATTATCTTCAAATATAACAGTTAGCATTAAATAAGCTTATTCATTCATTTGCATCTTTTTTTCTGAATAACCTGATATCCTCAGCAGATTTGTGTATGTCTCTATTTCTACTTAATTGCATTTTCATCATTTTCATGGCTGTAAACTTTCATTTTATGCATCTGCAGATAAAGTGTGCGTCCCAACCTATAATTCACATTGCATAAAGTCATCATCATTAACGCATATTGAATTAGTATAAATTACTTTTGTGCTTTTTCTAGTGGGCTTGTGTACTCAAGGAAAGCTGCAAAATACCAAATAGAATGAATTTACATATTAAGAGATATTCCCTTATGGCAATTTTGTTTTTGTATTTTTTATTTTTCATAAGACATTTATTTATCTAGAATTTTATTAATTGAACAAACATAAACAATACAATTAATATAATAGTAATAAACATAATTCACCACCCTGGGACTTAGTGAAGGATGGTATATAAAAGCTTTAAACAAACAAACAAAACCAATCAACGTAATTAAGCAATACAATAATAACAGTGCTACCTCCACCAGGACCAACAAATCATGCTACTTAATATAAGATCATTTATTTATTCAGGTTGTCCCACTCCCACTTCCCTTCCAGAACTGCACTGATTCTTATGGTGGTTCACACCCTTTTCCTTGTATTAAAACATATTCAATAAACAGTCTCTAAATACGTTCAAAATTATTTTCACTTATCAAATCTTTCTTCCATTTATTATCACCAGGTAACTTATCATTAATCGCTATATTCCAAGGGCTTTTTATTATTTTCAAACATCAAAATAGAGTTCACTGCAGGAGTGGCAGTACATGAAGTCTTAGAATGCATGTGAAGGCAACGCCCTGGCCCATTAGAGGAACGAGAGGCCAATACAAATATTCCAGACCATAAATAACTGGTACTGGGGGGTAAAAGGATTAAGTAAATGCAAAAGGCACATTCAGGTAACTCCCCATTCCCTCTAATGGGATTATTTTATTCCCTGAACATGTGCATAGATGGGGAAGAGGAAAGAGGCTACTGGCATCTTCTGTACACAGTGACATGCGCAACTCCAGTTAAATAGCACAGGGGAGAAAAACAAGGTACACAGGGCAGTAACATGGGTAATACAGGTAGAGAAGTGCACATGCACTCCAACCTCAAACCGTGGAAGTGTCACACTTGATAAAAGTGCCATATAACAGCAATAAAGCTATATCTTCTATCTATATTACCAAAACTTGGAATCCAATGGAATTTAAATTTTCTTTACAGAAAACTAAACCAAAACATCAACAATATATATTTTTATAACCAGATTAGTTGTTTTGTGTTTTAACTTGACAACAGAATCTAAAAATTACTATGTAATTCGTTTAACGACTATGCATATTCACTAACTTTAATTATTTCTTTGTGGCTTGAAAACAAACTCCTCCTTCAAATCTCAGTAAAAATAAAATCCCCTAACTGATCAGTACTTTAAAATGCAACATTAGATGTTTATGGGTTAGCAGTCAGATACTAAAACAGAATTTACAATTCAAATGATATTGTTAACCATACTGCTACTATGAAATCTTTATATTATCACATCCATGGGTTTGCCATAATTCCATTGCTCTCACTTCTTATCCTGGACAAGATCCTATTGATT